TCCCAGAATTCCCCAGCCAGCATTCGCTGGCTGGGGAATTCTGGGAGTTGAAGTCCAGACATCTTCAAGTTGCCAAGGTTGAGAAACACTGATCTGAAGGGCCACTCTTCGTTTAATGATAGTTCAAAGTTATAATGGTCTCAAAAAAAGTGATTTATGACCAACACTTAAGACTGTTTCATTCCCCCCCACAGCAGGTGATCGCAATTGAGGTGCCTGGCAATCACCCTACATTTATGACTGAGGGTCCTGCAGATATGTGATTGCAATTTGCAACCATTTTTGCCAATTTCTGCCCCCCCCCCCCAAAAAAATGGAAAACCTGGATTTGCTCAGTAATTATGCTGATTTGCTTAATATCTGCCATACAAATTGTAAAAAAATCAGGTCCAACTCAACTTATGCCGCCTATGGCTTACAATGAAAATTGGCACTTCCATAGAAACAGTGGTGTGCAGCAAATGAGAAAAGAAGGCAGCAATTTTTGTAACCCAGAGAAGGTGTGAAGTGAGAGCTCACCTGGCCGATCATCACTGAGAAAGCAAAGACACCTGTGAAGTAATTGAGAAGCTGAAAAACGATCTCAAAGAGGTTGTGGGGCTCCGGCAGCCCCCCGATGGTGATGAGCGTCTTGACAGCCCAGTAATAACAGCGGATGTAACTGCCAAAGATGAAGCACAAGAGATACGCAAAGGTTGCGCACGTCTTCCTCCTTGCCCCTTCTCCAGAGACGGCTGCCCAGCTGCCCAAGATGCCTACCTGTTTCCTCTGCCGTCGTAGACCCAGGCAGTGGAGCCGATCCCCTGGAAGGAGGAGGCCCAGTAGTACAAGCAGGAGTTCAGGTGCAGGCTGAAGAGCAGGTAGGCCGTAATCCTTACGACTCTGCCAAAATAATAGCCCTGCTAAGGAGGGGCTGCTAAAGTCCCTGCAGGACCTGAGATTGCCCGTGCTCTGCTCCTCTGCTGCTGCTTCCCCATCCCCCCCCTCTCCCCTCCCCCTGCCCAAGAGGGCACTGGTTGCCCCAGAGGGAATGCAAGAAGCAGGAACCTCAGAAGGTGCCCTTGGGAATCAGGTATGGCTGGAGGGGAGCATCTGCAGAGCCAGGTGCAGCCCGGCTCTTCTCAGCCAGCCAGGAGAGTGAGGTTGCCTGCAAAGGGCAGGCAAAGGGCCAAGATGCCCCACCACCACCACCCCAACTATGCACTCAAAACTGTGCCTGGCTGCTATGTAAATTGTGCAACACACACAAACACACCCACCCACACCCACCACAGGCACTGCTTCGATTGCACATCACAGCTTCCATTTTGACTTTCTGCACTTTGCTCTGCAGACAAATTGGGGGGGGGGGGTGTTTTGAGTCTGGAAGTTGCTCCTGAGAGTTCAGTGCCTTTTCCCTCTTGCTGGGCTTAGGGGGTCCACCTCACCTCCCCCCTGGTCAGAATGGGAGATCATGACCCTTTCCTTCCAGAGTTACTGTGCGTGCAGTCGCATGATGTTATTGGGGGGGGTGGGGTGGTAATGCTCAGAAAGAGATGCAAGAAAACCAGCGACCTCCTTCTCTTGTTTTCCCTTTGCACAGTCCTTCCAGTCAGTGCATCCCACCCCACAGCAAGGCCTCTGAGGCAGAGGCCAGGTAGGCTCAGGTATGTGCATAAATATTCAGGTTTTAAAACTGCTCTGGAGTTTATGCTCAGACAGGTCACAGACTGTGCAATCATTTATGCTTCAGCCTATCCCTCTCCCAGCAGCTCCTCCAGCCTCCACGTCAGCCGAGCGTCCCAAGCTATTTCTAGAGGTGGCCCTGCGCAAACTGCCTCATTTATTCTGTCTGAGAAGTCCTGCTTTGAGTTCAGTTCACATCAGTACGCCATGATATTAGTAAGAATGCTGGCCTTTAAAGTAGAAACCTCTGCTCTTGGGCTGCCATGTGGCTTGCAACATTGGAAATAAAGCGGACATACAGTTTGAATCCACCATTGTGTGGATTTCGTTGTTGTTGCCATTTCCTTTGGAAAGAGAAGGGCCTGCAGAAGCTGCTGAACTGCACCCTGCCCAGAAGGACAGAACCTCACCTGTAAACATAGGCCTTGCTCAAAATAGCTTCCAGGCGGTTGTTAAACTCAAAGAAGGCCAGGTACTGTGAAAAAGAAATAAAGGTCCCGGTGAGCTCCGGAGGAGATTCTGCCCACAGTTCACCAAGGAAAGGAAAAACCTTCCCCAAGGAAGCAATGGGCGAAGCCTTCAGGGCTGCATGGCGAGGGACCGATCCCTTGGGAACTGCTGCTCTGGGTTGATCTCCAGGGTTAAGCCCGCTCCTCCTTTTCCAGCCCTTCCCTAAAGATGCGAAATCAGGATGGAGGAGGACTCACCTTTAGGCAGCGAGGCAAGCGCAGGAGAGGATGCACGCCAACCTTGAAGTAGAAGAAATCCAGGGGGAGAAGGCAGAGGGCATCCATCTGAAAGAAAAAGGAGGCCGGAAGCACGGGGCTGTCTGGAATCATCCCACGGACAGAGGCATTCCACCCGGGGGATTCATTTGCAAAGGTTAAACAAAATTGCAAACAAAAATGTATATAGCTGAGGAAATATGCATAATAACATAAATGTTTTTGAGCAAAGTTTTTTAAAAATGATCAAGTGCAGTTTTACAAACAAATCAGAAACTGATTTTGAAAAAGATACACTCAGTATCATTCAAAAGGTATCAGGGACCTGATATTCCCAAATTATATATGTATAGTATATACACTTTTACTGCATATACTGTAATGAGAATTCCATTGGTAAACTTTCTATGTCGTCGTTACAAGAGCCACCCAAGCAGATGATATCACTGCTATGACAAAGAATTCAGCGTCTGGAATATTATTTAAAGATCATATGACAGAGAACGCTGTTTCACTCTGGTGGTCATTTTAATTAGGAGTAAATTAAACAAAACACTACACACCTTAAAACGATGGGACTTCAGGTAATTCTTCCTCATGGCTCTCTTATCAGTCTAGAAGAAGAAAGAAAATGCAAAAGAGTTCCACCCGAAACTCGGAAGGGAAACTGAGGCACAGCCAGCAGAATCTCTGTGTCTTGGCATGGAATTTATCTGCCTGGCAGTATCAAAGTCTGCTGCTCTCCTGAAGCGTCTTAAGTCTGCAGATTGTTTACACTTGGGGAGGTTACCTCCCCTTTACAGATGGATAGATACCTTATTTTACAAACCTAAAATAAATATCCTGGCTGCATCTTGGGAAAGGCTTAGCGGTCATTGAGATTTTTACAGCCCGGATCTGTTTATTTATGGATGGAGGGCATAAGGGTTCGGGTATCAAGCTCTCAAATCGAGAGTCAGAAGTCAGAAGCCATGGCTTGGCTTGCCGTCTGCCACTTACAATAATATCTCCTTGATGGACAAACTGCAGGCGGACCTGAAAGACGGCGATGTCCAGGAAGTAGATGAAATCACAGAGGTAGTCAATAGCCATCCAGTAATAGACGTTCTCAGGTGATTGATATGGGAAAGCCCAACGGACCGGAATCAGCCAGCAGTTCCAGTTCCATGCCAGGACCACAAGTAAGAGCCACAACACGTACATCAGATCTAGAAGAGGAGGGAAGCCCAGGAAATACTCAGGACCCTCATGCAGCATCCCTCAAATTCCCCTTTCAAACTCCGCAGTGGGAGAGCCACCCTTGCACTCTGCTTGCCCAAGGAGCAAGAGGGAAGAACAACTTTCAGATCAGAGATCAGGCAACAGTTGTCACACAGTGCGCCACCCGGCCTGTGAAGCAAGTGGGCTAAGAGGTGGAACTAGTCCCCTCAAAGTCAGTTCAATGGGCTGGCAGCTTCAGAAAATGATACAGATGGAGATGAGCATCTTGGCCTCCCCATCAAATATGGAACCCAAGATAGAATCAGAAGATTGGAAGGAACCTCAGAGGTCTTCTACTCCAAGCCTCTGCTCAAGGCAGGAGACTTTATACCATCTCAATCTAACAGTTGTCTCGTCTCTTCTTGAAAACCTCCAGTGATGGAATACCCACAACTGTGGGAGGCAAGCCATTCCATTGGTTAATTGTTCTCACTGTCAGAAAAATTCTCCTTACTTCTAGGTTGGATCTCTTTAACAAGCTTCCATTCAATATTTCTTGTCCTGCCCTCTGATGCTTTAGAGAATAAGTCAACCCCCTCCTATCTGTGACTGCCCCTTAAGTATGGAAGACAGTTACCATACCTCCCCACCAATCCCTCTCTTTGATAGGCTAGATATACCTAGTTCCCCCAACCGTTATTATATGATTTGACCTCCAGATCCCTTATCAACTGTGTTGGTCTCCTCTGCACACTTTCTAGCGTTTCAGGATCATTTTTCTATCACTGGGACCAGATACAATTTTTATGCAGTACACAGTATCCCTAGTTATACTGCACTCACTAGTACAAAGCGGTACAATTACTTCTCGCTGTCTTGACGTTATCCCTCTGTTGCACTGCAAAAGAACTGCCTTGGTTTTTTTGGCAGCTGCAACACATTTCTGGCTCATACTTCAAAGGTGATCTACTGGGACTCCTAGATCCCTCTCATAGTTACTACTTTTGAGTGCAGGACTGACTTTTCTCACTAATGAATTGCATTTTTTGGGATAGGGTCCAGTGTTGAAGTCTGTCAAGATCCTTCTGAATCTTGACTCTATTATTTAAAATGTTAGCTATTTCCCAGCTTACACTTGATATCACTTGCAAATTTGATGAGTTCTCCTTCCACCCCCTCATCTAGATAATTTATGAAGACGTTGAAGAGGACTGGGCCCAAGACAAAATCTTGGAGTACCCTTGCATGCTTTCTTCCATGTAGATGCAGTTCCATTAAGAACTACACAAGTGCATTTTTATTTATTTGTTCACGTTCTATGGCCACCCATCTCAGTCAATAATTTTGGGTGGCTTACAATTCAATTAGTTAGCCAACTGTGAATCCATCTGATGGTGATACTCTCTATCCCAAATTTGTCTATCTTTGGTCTATTTTGTCAAACACCATACTGAGATGTGGAGCTCTCAAGAGAAGCCCTCAACAATCTCTACCATTTGCTTCCAACTTCCTTCAGGGAAGTGTGTTTGGAGCTTAAGGATGGTTAATGGAGCTTACGGATGGTTGTCCACAGTCAGTTTGCAGTTTAATTTATTTAACCTACATTGTAAGAATACCATTGTGGTGGGTTATGAGTATCTCCAATTTTGGGACTATATTTGCAATAAATAAAAATATCACTTGTGAAAGACCCGAAGTGCCTTGCTGTATTTTAAAGGTCCATACAAATTATTTGGCATTTCATAGGATAAGAATTAGCTTGAGTAGACCATCAAGATTCCTGGGGATTTCCAACAGGTCTGCATTCCTCACAGGCACGAAAGGCCCTGAATTTCCCAATTAAACTGATGTATTGCTCATGCCTATGCACAGGAATCTCCTCAGCTATGATTTGGCACTAGAAACGGGTTGATGGGATTCAAGGAGAGTTGGTCTTAGTCTATTTGTGGCTATGTAGAGATTCTAGACTGATTCCTCTTTTGACTCTGCCCCCATGTTCTGCACTCTTTCTCCCACCATTCCCTTCACAAAGTCCCTCCTGCTCATTCTCCCCTTCTCTCTCGGAGTGCAGTTGTCTTTTCAGTCCAAAGCCCTCCCTGCTACTTACTGGAGGAAGGGTCAATACTGCTGGGGAACTGGACTCTCCTCATGTGGCAGAGGAAGGGGTGATACTTAAACCTGCAGCAAAGAATTTCGTGGAAACGCCCCTCTCCATCTTCCTCGGCTTTTTTGTCTTTCTCCTCTGAGATTTTCTCTTTGGAAGGAGCTGAGAGAATAAATCAAATTAGTGAAATTGAAACAAAATGTTTTGCCCATTATTTGGAGCCAAATCAATGGTGGGTTTCCATTTTTTTTACTACTGGTTCACTCGTATGCGCGTGTGCTCATGTGCGTGCACGAAGCCTCCCGCCACCACCACTACCGGTTCACCTGATCCGGGCCAAACCGGGAACAACCCACCTCTGAGCCAAATGGAGAGAAAGTTCAGAAACACCCCCTCTAGTAAGAATGGACAATCCATATTGCACAGCTTGCACCTGGCCCTAAATCCTAATTGGCAGCCCCCCCTCCCCCCAATCAACCAGGATTTCTTTTTTCCGGTTAGGGCTGGAATATCTTGTGCCTAAGAGTCCAGGGGGGGTGGAACCTCAAGAATGCTGGAGCTCTTCTGAAACCTGTTTGCTTCATTAGTGAAATAATCTTATCTCTCCTTAAAAACAACAACAACAGAAGGAAGGTTCCGAGGCAGAAGGTCTGGGAGGGCAGGAGACACTGGGCTCACGCACCCCATATCCCAGCATAAAATAAGGGCGTAGTATGCCAACATGCCAACATGCTGCGTTCCCCCTGTGAGCTGAACGTCCCCCCTGCAAACCTCAGGTGGGAGGCCGAGGCTCTCTCGTGGGACCCTTGGGACACCAGAGTCCCCGCCCTTGCCTCCCGGACTCACTCACAGGCTGCAGGGGTCTCATCCTCGGAGGAGGCGTCGGGGTCCGTCAGCTTCTCCTTGACTTTCTCAGTTCGGTCCTTGAAGAGCCGCACCAGCTCCTGCAGCCGATCGTTGATGATGGCGCTACTCTGGCTGGCGGCTGAGCTGCCCCGTCTGGGTGAGCTGTGGAGCAACCGAGAGGGAGAATCAGGTCCTGCCTTCGCAGGGACTCTGAAGGCCCTTCAGTTCCCCAGTCTCTGCTCTCGAGATTTATTCAGTGGCTCAGAGAGCAGCTGGTCCTTTTTTGACCCACAACTGTCTGGACAGGTTAAAAAGGCTGGCTAGAAAAGTAACCAAAATAAGGTTTTTAGTTGCTTGCATTGTGAGATCTTTCCCGGTTGGCTGGTAGAAGAAATGGGGCAAGGGGGTGAGTTCTCTGGTAAGGCTGTGCCCTCTCACCTGGGGGGCTGGGCAGAGGGGGAGTAGCAATTTTACAGATGACCTTGCCTTTGGATCGGCTTCTGAGTCTGCTCTGCAAGGCTGGGAGGTTCTACCCAGTTAAAGCTATATCTGTTCTCTCTCTCTCTCTCTCTCTCTCTCTCTCTCTCTCTCTCTCTCTCTCTCTCTCT